ATGAAAGCAGATGCAGGCAGACACAGATGGAGCCCAGAAGCCAAATAGCACGAGGTTCCTCACTACAACAGTGGGGTTGGCAGCTTCATGCTGTTTTAAGGAAGGAAGGTAATTTTCTATAAAGTAATTAGATCATCACTTAAGCAAACCATCATTGTGATTGTATTTTATTTTCATTAACTCTAGGAAATAGTCCTTTGAACATAAGTAAAATTTAAGTGGCTGATTTTAGTAGTTATCGGTTTCATTTTTGTTACTTGGAAAAACAATCATGGGACCTGGGGGTTGAAAGCGATTATTTCTTTGTAACATGTCTAGCATTGTCTTCACAACCTCAGTCAGTGTGAACATTTCCAAACACCCAGCACATGAAAGCCTGCCGTTGATTGGCCTGTGGAAACATTAAAACAGTGTCAAATGGTTTTCTTTCTCTCACTAAGGACTTTAGTACTGGCTTAGTGCTCTTAATACTGACTCGTGTAGAACAGGGCACTCTCATTCCTGCATCTGAATTTAATGCCATAAGTCTTTCGCCCCAAGGACAGAGTTCTAAAGAAAGGGTTCTTATCGATATTAATTACAATACTCTCTTTTCCTGAGGGAAGTTTAACCATTTTACTTTGGAAAAGTGGAGTGTTGTATCTCAAAAGGTGTACGGTCTACTAGTTTAGTATATTGTGGAGTTAGTATCCACAAACATTCTGACTACATGTTACACAAGTACTGAATATCATTTGGACAACTGCAATTTTGTCCCGTTAAATTCAGAGATGGCTTAAGATGATGTACTTGCTAGATAATCTCATTCGTATGGCAAAAATAATGTGTAGCAACAACTTAGGGACTACCTGTACATGGAAGGTTTGGAACCATGTCTTCGGTTCTAGTGTGTGGTTGTGATCTCTTCCGATGATATTTTTACATGTGAATTTATCTTGAGGCCCAGAAGAGATATTTTACTGTGGGACTGCAGAAAATTAAACAAAGACACTTATGCTGCCAAGAGAAGTTCAGGTCATCCACTTCACAAATACCCAGACTTCAGAAATGCTTACAAGGAGCCGTTTGAGACACTGTAGTGCTCCGTGCTCTACAAGACATACTTGTGTGTCTCAGCTGCTGTCAGAACCCAGCTGAGATCTGATAAACAAGAACCAACTGTTGGGGACTTAGCAAGCAAAAGATGGGAAGACTGAAGACTGCTGTCTGCAAAGAGGAGATTACTTACGCCCCAGCCAGCTAACACATGTACCTGAAGCTGGCACAGGTGGCGTTTGCATGCATGCTTTAAGATGCTGACTTCCCAACCTCAGTGTTTTCTAACTAAATATAGATGAAAAAGAGATTCAGCTTTAGGCAAAAAATAAAAAGGGCAAGGACGACCAACCAACAAACAAACATTAGTCCCTTCTAATCTCTTTAAATACTTTTTTGTCTGAACTTTCTGCCAATATGTATTATTGAATTGTATGGATATTTCAAACATAATTTGAGATTCACTTTAAATGAAATCTGCTGTGAGATTGCTTGTTCTAGATAATGTCAGATTGTCTTGATTATTCGTTGATATAGGAGGGTCCAGCACCTTCTGAGTAGCTCCATTCCTTCTAAGATATAACAAGGCAGTACTGTTGGGAAAATGGTCTTGTATCCTGTAAACATTTGTCATTTGTATTTAATAAAGCAGTGATTGGCCAGGGCCTGACAGGAAGTATAGGCAGGATGAGCAGAAAAGGGGAATTCTGGGAAGAGTAAAGGGTCAGTCTGCAGTCATCACCCAGATGCAGAAGAAGCAAGATGAGAATGCCTCAATGATAAAAAGTACCAAGCCACATGGCTAACATTGTCATGAATTATGGATTAATTCAAGATGTAAGAGTTAGCTAGAAATATGTATAAGCTATTGGCAAAACAGTGTTGTAATTAATATAGTTTCTGTTTGATTGTTTGCATCTGGGTGGCCAGGAAACAAATAAGAAGCTCCCGCCTACAAGAAAAAAACAGCTTTCTTCATGGTTTCTTCTTCCTATTCCTGTTTGAGTTCCTGCTCTTATTTGCCTTAGTGATGAAGAGGACATAGAAGCATGAGTCACATGAATCCTTCCCTCATCTATTCTAATTTAGATCATAGTGTTTTGTAATACAACAGAAAGGAATTTATTCAGCCAGATCATCTAGATTGTCAAAAGTTAAAAATTCTGAAATTTATAATTCATCTACAAAGGAAAGAAATAATAAATTTGTGCAAAATAGAATCAATAATTTTAGAAAATAATGAAAGCATATTTTATAAAATAAAGTGGAGGAAACACAATGGCAGTGAAATGGCCATTGACTTCAGTGACACTGGAGTAAATATGCTCTTGTTTTTAGTAAGCAGTGAAATGAATAAGGTTCTCTTGTCTCACTTTTCCCTTCTCTAACTCCTCTCTCTCTTTCTGAATACGAACTAATGAAGGACATACATTAGTAGGTTTCCCACATGCCTTTTAAGCATCCTTACTATTATTTCTGCTCCTCCCACTTACTCTGCCCTACACTCCCAATCCTTTCTCCACTTTAGTTTCCTCTGCTATTATTCCCCTTCCCCATGTTGCCTGTATTTTACTATGCCAACCACTCTTAAGATCTGACTTTATAGCTCCTTGTCCATTGCTTTTTTCTAGTTTTCAAATTACATAGGTATTGCAAGTTAAGCATACAAATCTAAAGTGTCTGCCTTACATCCTCATATGTGTGAGAATATTTGGTATTTCTTTTCTCGATAACATAACTAAATATAATGTGTTCTTTTCAGTATGTTCTTTCACCCAATTTATAACTCACTCATACTATAGTTTCACACACACACACACACACACACACACACACACACACACATATATATATTATATAATATAAACAATTTGGAGTTAATCTGTAAAGATGATTATGACATGATTATTTGACATGATGTCAAATAAGCCTATTAAATAATCTTATTACTTAATAACTTAATGATAGAACAGTTGTCTAATTTGTTGTTTTCTATGAATTATTTTTTCATCATTAGATTTGATTGTTAATCATCATATTTTGTCTTTAGTGCATTAGTTACTTTAGACTACAGTTTCCATATTCTTGTTAGAGTTGATTTCAGACTATACTTTTGTTACCTGAAAGAGCTGATGAATTATGAGGCTGCTTTCTTTACTTTTTAAACTTTATTTCATCATCCTACATTGTACATATATACATATATATATATATATATATATACATATATATATATGTGTGTGTGTGTGTGTGTGTGTAAAACCATGAAGAACCTATAAACCATTGATGAGGTTTGAATTAGTTAATAAAACCAATCTCCGTATTTTGCTTTTTCAGTAGATCAAGGACAAGAGTAACTTTGTTTTAGTTTTTCTGTTTGTTCTAAAAGTTCAGACATCACAGTATCATAAGCATTTGCTTTGCCGAACTCCTCCTGAACCTGCAGCTGCCAAAAGCACAGAAACAGAACCAATAGCACAAGGAAGAGGCTCCCACAAATTTCAAGTAAACACACTCTCAGTTAAGTTCCTGACAATGATACTCTAAAAGTATCATGCTTTCACTTTCACACATCTTTTATTAGTTTTACAGCATACCTTAGTACATGTTTTTAAGGTTTTCAGTTGCTTTCTGGATTAAATTAGATAGTATGAAAATACCAGAGGTATAAATATTTTTCAATCCTGTTAATCACAAAAAAATTACTATTGATTCTGCTAAAATAAATTGGCAAATCTTTATTCAAGTGTGGATATGGTGGTTTGGGCTTAGTGTGTTTTATGTAAAGGTTTAAGGTATAAATATAAATACAATGAGAAATTTCTAAAGAATTAAAATATAGTCTCTCTGTCATATAAAATAGTAATACACTGTTCATCACTTTATGTTTCTGTTCTGAAAATGCTATAAAAGTAATAAATACAAATTGAAACATCATTCCATGGTAATACTTGTGTTCAATAGGATTTCCAGAATTAAAATTTTAACAGGTATACCTAACATATAAATTTACCTCACTCAGATTATTAAACAATGATCTTAAATTTTAACATATTTTCAACTAATAAAGTTCTTTACTACTTATAAATAATGTGATACAAATACTTGCCAGTAAAAAAATATATATACTTGTCTAATCATGACAAGCATTAGGTTAAAATAAATTTTAATAACTAATATGCAAGCTATCACTATATATACGTGAATTTAATAACAAATACATCAAATATAAGTTTCTTAGTTTTCCTAAAATACATACCTTAAAAAGCCAAAGACAACATATGTAGCCAATGACTTTACTAGAGTTAACACTAAGTGACATCACTATAGATGACATAAAATGTTGATTATTTGTTTTCTTTTACTAACAGAAACTGGGCTTACAAGTCACTTAGAGAACACAGCAATGTAAGTAAGGCTGGTTGCCCAAACTTTAATTTCTCCTTTTAAGTTAATTAAGTGCTGTAACCATTAGTGCATATTGCCTTAAAATATCTTCAGTGTCTTCTCCATCATTCTCTTTTCTTTGTTACTGGATGTTATTCCAATAGAAACATTCTTGAAGGAATAGTAAGCTCCCATACTAGCAGTCATTTCATTTAAAGACAATTAATTAGTATAGCTAATAGGTAATAATATAAAACACTAATATTGGTTAAAAATCTGCTTAGCTTGTGAAGACAGACATTTCAATTCATTACTCTTGTTCAATGTAATGTCTTATATAGAATAAAGTGATTAATTTCTAATTAATCTGTTTAGAATTAACTATAATTTTAGTGAGCTCAACCTAATAGTGGGTCTAATTTTGTCTCTCCCGTCATTTTCTCTCCTTCAGCGCACCTGGCTGAGCTTTGAACAGATAGCTACTCTATTGCTCACTAAGAAGTCAACAGACAGCCAAGACTGCATGAACAGATTTAGGACATTTTCCCTTGGGATTATCAGTAGTGAACAGACAGGCAATGGATGTCTTTGGATCCAATCGAATACATAAAGGGAAAATACTGCGATTGCTTTCTTGTTTCTCTTGTACCAGAGATCAAAGTAAACTCAAGCGTAAATCTCATGATGTGGAAAAAAACCTCTGTAGAGAAAATAAGGCATTGAGAGATGAAAACAAGGCTCTGAGAACAGACAACAAATTCCTCTGGGGGGAAAATAAAGCCTTAGGAAGAGAAAATAAAACATTTCGAATGGACAACCAATTCATCAGGGAAAGAAATCGTATCCTAAGGCAACAGAACCAGCTACTCCGGAAAGTGAAAAGGTTGATTTTAGAGAGCCCAAAACTCTCCGATGAAGAACTCAGTGCCTTGAACACAGAAAGAAAGTCTTACTGGCAACAGAACCGAGCCATGGAGGCTCAGATCACAGCTCTCAGGCAGCAGGAGAAAGCATTCCAGAATGAGGCAAAGGCTCTCCATGAGGAGATCAAATCCCTGCATGAAGAGACCAAGGCTCTCCAGCACCAGGAGAGGGCTCTCAGAATGGCAGAGAAAGCTCTGATGAGGGATGAAGTGTCTGTGGAGCTGGAGGAGGTGCTGAAAAAGGAGGGAGCTGCTCTGGAGATGGAAGAGCAGGCCTTGTGGCAGGAAGAGCAGGCTCTTCGGGAGGAGAACAAGGCACTGAGAGAAGAGCATGGGGCTCTACAGGATGAGGAAGTCGCCCTGCAGAAAGAGGCGAAGATCCTGCAAGAGTGGAATAATATTCTTCAGGGGAAGATCACAAACAACCTCCCAGGGCAAACACACAGAGATGACGCAGAGAAGTGTGACCTAAGAATGTAAGAACAAAGCCCAGGCCATCATCGTCATTCCGGAACATACAACTAGAATTCGAAGGAGATACATCATTGTCAGGAGCCTCAAAAATTAAAGAGCTCGATATTTGATCCTGGAAACTAAATAAAAAACTGAGAATTGAACAAAAATATTTGGTTCCTTAGTTTTCTCTGAATTACAGATAATTGCTGGTAGCATGAAGCACACATTTAATGTACAAGTCAGATTTGTCCGTTGAGAGAATTTTGATGAATATCAAAATTCCATTGTAAGAAACTTATAGCAAGTTATAAAACTTTTTTTGTTTTGTTTTGTTTTGTTTTTTGAAATAGGGTTTCTCTGTGGCTTTGGAGCCTCTCCTGGATGAGCCATGCCTATCTGTAATCCCAGCAATTGGGGAAAAAGAAGGATCAGGGTTCAAGGTTGTCCTCGCCTACTGCATAGTGATTTCAAAGCTGTCCTGGGTTACATCAGACCTTGTCTCCAGAGACAAAGCAGCAATATTTTTCAATTTTAATTTACAAATTAAATGATGGGTAAGCAATAAAAATGTGTATAATTTCTATATTATAGAATATTTTTCTTCCTCTTTATACTAAATTCATGTCGAGTAAAGACTTTTACTTATCATGCTAAAGAATTTAAGTTTTGTGTTAGTACAAAAGGTATTAATGTTCAGTTTCCCCACATTTAAATTTTTCTTCTCATTTATTGTAATTTTACTTAGTAAAAGAAATACTTTTACTCATAAAAGTTTTTGAACAATAGGAAAAAAGAGAGAATAAAGCTCTCCAAAATACAAGAGAAATGGTATGGATTAATATGTGAATATTCGGAAGAGTTTATGTTCAATAGAAATTAAAGAGCCGGACATGGTGTAACAAGTCTACAATTCTACCACTATAGAGCAAGAGGCAGAAGGGGCTTTGTGAGTTTGAGGTCAAACCATCTACATAGTTAGATCTAACTTATCAGAAGATATAGAGTGAAATCTTGCTTTAAAGAAAAATTAGAGAAATACATGATAGTTCATATTAGTAATGACAGCTGACCTAAATGTAATTTTTAAAAATCATACTATTCCACAGTTATACAAATTCAGTAAATATCTTGTTACCTAACAGTAGAAAAGTATAAATAATTTTGAAAACTTAATTCACTATAAAACATAATAGTTTCTATTGAATATATCTGAAATATCTTGTCTATTATTGTTTTGTCAGAAACTGGAAATGTAAAAAAATTATAAAAAAGAAGCACATTTATGCTTCCATGTCCACTTAGAAAAATTTCTGAGTAAAAATTACATCTAATTTTTACCTGTCTGTATTGTCCTCTTTGGAAAAATTTACTAATTAAAAATAAGATAATACTTCTAATTTAAGATCCCATAGTCTGTTAATGAACATTTTTCTCAAACACATAACTTCATTTGTTATGCAATTTGTCTCTCTAAAATCTCACTGGACATTATTTCTACCATATTTTGTTTTCAAATACGTGATCTGACTTTGGAGAAAGCCATGATATGACATGGGATTTAGATATGTGTTTATCGGAGTTGTAATCAATTTAGAACCAAGAAGAAAAAAATACAATAAAGTTACCATTAGTTTTACCTCAAAAAAATGTTGAAAAATACCTGAAAGCCAACTTTAGAAATCAAGACCTAAGTAGATAGGCTTCTCTATAGTTTATATATTCTTCAATGCTATTCCTCACAGACAAGAGTCATAGTGCTTTAAAACACCTTATAACTTGTTGATGAAAACAGGAGGCGTGTTATCTACATGGAAACTGTTACCAAGGGCTTCTTTCTGTCATGAATATCTCATTATTGTATCACAGTTAAAGAGCAGTAGTTTACTAGAAGGTGAAGTACTGACAGGGAAGCCCAAACTTTTACCAACAGTTCATCAACCTTACACAGGCAAGGATATCTACAAATGGACCAGAATAAAAAGGATTAAGATTATAAGAAGTTTCTGTGATAGGAGTATTTTGGGCATGTGGGTTTTTTTTTTTTAACTCAGTTTGTATTTCTAGAATGTGAACTTTGTAGATGATAGCATCTTATTCCATGCCAAACTGTTGGGAATGCTGGTAGAACATATTTCATATTTTCAGTCTCTCATCTTTAGCTGCATCCTTGCACGGCTCCAGGAATTGGCCTGACTAGAGTGGTAAGGCAATGAGGAAACGCCAGACAGATGAACAAAAATGTTAGTATTGAGTGAACTAGTTTCTGATGGGAAGCAATATTACCCTTGAAGCTTAGCCTGCTGAATATGCACAATTAAACAGTGTGCAAGTTGGTTGTATACAACTGAACAAGAAGATGGTGTTGTTACACAAAGACAAATGAGTCACCATTTATGGTGTTCACCTTGATCATAACATTAGCACTGTATTTTTAGGCAATAGTCTTCAAGCATGAAACATACCAAGGATAGAGTTGTGAAGGAGTTTTTAGGACACGCTGTTCAAACTCACAGTCCAGCCTTCAAGAAAGACATTACGCCTCCTTGGAACCGAGGCTTTGGAGTTAGTCACTAGACTGAGACCATGTAAAACAACACACACTCACTCAGGAACTCACTCAGGGTGTTCTGTTTTCCACACCCTTGGAATTTAAATGTTAAGTTCAAAAATCAAGATTTCTACAACACCTTGATTTTTCTGGTACATTCTCTAGGTTACAAATTATATAATTCATGAACCTTTTAGACAACTTCTGTAAACTTAACTATTTCAATGCCTTATTGTACTATCAGATACTAACCAAAACCTTCTGCTAAAATTTCATATGTTAGCTGTGATCATTGCAAGCTTGTTCTGTATATTCAGTGGAAACTAAACAATAAATGTTCCTTTTCGTTATTGTTTCTAGAAGAATTGGTTACAGATAATCAAGTGTTCCCAGTGGTATTGTTCTGAAACGAGACCAAGACAATGTTATCAGCTTGAAGAGATACTAGTTGCTACCAACATCTTAGAAATGGTAGATCAACTAACTTCTTTAAAGGACCACAAGAGCTGAGAGGTGGTGGCTCACACCTTTAATCCCAGCACTCAGGGGACAGAGACAGGCAGTTCTCTCTGAGTTCACGGTCAGTCTGCTCTACAGAAGGAGTTACAGGCCAGGCTCCAAAGATACACAGAGGAACTGAAAGACCATAAGGTCTAAACTCAGTTATGAAGCTACCTCAACCTATTAGTTATGGTGAAGATTTCCATCCTTCCCCATTTTTTGTACTCCATTATGCTTTCCATATCACCATACACCTTCTTTTTCTTTTCTGATTTCCACATCATCTAAGACTTCAACCTTTTAAAGTTCCCTCTGCAATGTTCCTTCAGTCTTCTCACCCTATGCTATGATTTGAATGCAAAATTTCCGCCACACAATTATGGTTTGAATATTTGTTTTCCAAGGGTGTAATTTTTGAAATCAAAGATCCTTTGGGAGTGGGGACATAGCTGGCAGAAGCAGCTCACTTGGCCAAATTGACTCCTGCTTCCTGCTTGCACACTTTGTTTTCCTGTTCTACTGCAGTGAACTTAGCTGTTGCTCCACACATTCCTAGTCATAACTGACTCAAAATGTTTGATTTATTACTAAAAAAAACCTTCCTCCATAAAGATGTCTGGGATTTTCATCACAATGAAAGCAAATGTGATGAGCACAGCTAGCAAATACTTTGTTGCTATCACCAGGTGGTTTTCTTCTCTGTTAAAGGCTGAGCAAAGTCGAGCTGGGCTACACCTGTTTCCCTCTCACAGTATTTCTGATAATTTCATGTGTTTTCTCTGAGGATGACACAGCTTCAACGAAAGCACATGATATTAGACTTTACCACTTTCTATCTTGCATATTAAGTCATCTCAAGACAATCTGTTCAGTCTTTCGGAAGATCTAATATCTGTAATCTGGATGGGAGTATCTTTCTGCAATTTTCCTGACTTCTCAGATTTCAGCTTTCATTTGGGTGATTTTCCAACAATGTGCTATTCACCTTTGTTTATTAATTTTATATAAAATCATTTACTCCCTACCCACCTTAAAATACTTGTAGTCACCAAGCACATTAGGTTAGAAATGTGAATTACTTTGTTCACCCATCTAATTTATGTCCCTCACTCAACCATGTAGTAACAGAAGCAGCGGGCTGCGTCCCCAGCACCCGGCCACTCACACAGCTAGCTCTAAACCCCGAAATAATTACATGGAAACTGTATTCTTTTAAACACTGCTTGGCCCTTTAGCTCTAGCCCTTACTGGCTAATTCTGATATACCAATCAACCCATCTCTAATAATCTGTGAGCACCGGTCTTACCGGGAAGATTCTAGCCTACGTCCATCCTGGGTCAGAGCTTCATCTCTTGTGTCTGCCTGGGAGCAGGGCATGGCGTCTCTCAGGCGTCTACCCCGGAGAGGAGAGCTGTCGAGTCTGAGCTCACTCCCTCTTCCTCCCAGCATTCTGTTCTGTTTACTCCTCCCACCTATGTTTTAACCTATGAGGGCCAGCCAAGCAGTTTCTTTATTTTTTTAACCAATAGCCTTCCTCCATCACAACCAACTACGGTCGAATCAAGATTACTTGAATATCAGCCTTGTAATTTAAAACTAGATATGATATGAGGGGGAAAGAGGTCCTGTGACAGAGTTCCAGAAGATTTTTTGTTGTTGTTGTTAGGGGAAAGGGAAGAGAGGAAGAGTGCGGTGGGTGGGGTGCGGAAGACCAGCCTCTGGGTACAGGAGCAGCAGAAGAAAAGAGAGAGGCAGAGAGGATAGGAGGGAGGGAGAAGAGGAGGGCCTGAGAAACAGAAGATGTGAAAGAGGGAGGGAGAGCCACAGAGACGGGTAGAGAAGAGAGAGAGACAGAGACAGAGAGAGAGACAAAGAGACAGAGAGAGAGAGACAAAGAAGAGGTGGCCAAGGCCCACCTTTTAAAAGGCAACACAGGGAATGCACACAGGAGGTGGTATTAATGGCTGCAGCTGA